GGCATTCGAACTCGGACCGTCTTAGACCACTACTCCGCACTATAAATAAAAAACATTGTGTATATTTTGTCATCATTAATTCAGTCAGTTATGTGCCATGCGTGATACACGCTTAGGCGATCATGTATTTTTCAATACATGACTGACGAGGCAGATTTTTTCCAGCAGTAGACCAGTTTCCATCCAAGGCTGTAGAACCCGGTCTGTTCTACTATTTACCCATAGCTGGGTGGAGAAGAGGATTCATATCTTTCCCAAAGGTATTAGCACGTAAGAGAGTGTAATGGATTCGACTGGAATTCGAACTTTGCTCTCCGATTCCTATCCATTACTCCACCGTGCCTCCTACCATCATTACTTAAACTTGTAGTTTTGGAAGATACTACTACCACGACTACTATTACAAATAACATCAACAAAAACAAAAAAACAACAACAAAAGCAAAAACCAACATCAAAGCCAAAAACCAAAAAACAACAACAACAACAAAAAACAAAACCAAAAAAAGGTGGGCGACAATTTAGAATAAATTCGGGCATTTCTGTACTAAATCGTTCATCTCTCCTTCTCCGATTCTTTTATCGACACAAATGTTCGTCTTTATATTTCTCTATACGTTGATAGAAAGGTATATGTACTTGTGTCCTCAGAACTATTTAAATGTGTTTATTACCTTATGGAAATATACCGATAAGATGTCTCCAAAATACATTAGATTTTGATTCGTGATTTAATATTTGTTTCCATGTTGCAACGTCATAAGATAAATTGTAGAGATGACAATTGGGCAGTTTCTCACTTTCTGAATATACCGCTCTCTTCTTTCTCCTCTTCTCTTTTATTTTTTTCTCGTCCTTATCTCTAGTCTCTCTCTCTCTCTCGTCCCTTTTTTTCTTTTAGCTCTATTTACCTCTCTCTCTCTCTCTCTCTCTCTCTCTTTCTCTCTCTCTCTCCTACTTTTACTAGCTTTTTTCCTCGGTTCTCTTCATTCACATTCTCTTTTCCATCTCCTTATTGCTAGCACTTTTCTTCTCTCACACTTTCTAGCTCTTCCCCTTTCTAGCTCTTCCCCCTCCTCACACTTTCTAGCTCTTCCCCCTCCTCACACTTTCTAGCTCTTCCCCCTCCTCACACTTTCTAGCTCTTCCCCCTCACTCTTGCTAGCTCTTTTCCTGTCTCTGTCTCTTTCTAGATCTTTCTTCTCTCTCTCTCTCTCTTTTCTAGCTCTTTTCCTTTCTCTCTCTCTTTCTAGATCTTTCCTCTCTCTCTCTCTCTTTCTAGATCTTTCTCTCTCTCTCTCTCTTTCTAGATCTTTCTCTCTCTCTCTCTCTTTCTAGATCTTTCTTTCTCTCTCTCTTTCTAGATCTTTCTTTCTCTCTCTCTCTAGATCTTTCTTTTTCTCTCTCTCTCTCTCTCTAGATCTTTCTTTCTCTCTCTCTCTCTCTCTAGATCTTTCTTTCTCTCTCTCTCTAGATCTTTCTTTCTCTCTCTCTCTAGATCTTTCTCTCTCTCTCTCTCTAGATCTTTCTTTCTCTCTCTTCTCTCTCTCTCTCTCTCTCTTGTTAGCTCTTCCCCCTCTCTTTTGGTAGCACTTTTCCTTTCCTAACCCTCTCCCACGTTCACATCCTGTTTACCTCACGTTCGCTTTTTTAACTCATCTCGCGTATCCCGTTTTGTTTAGCTCTTATCAGAAAGACACCATGGTCAAGGAAAGGATTTGATTTCATCCTGAATCTATTAGAATCGTTCGCATCAACTTAGGTCAGCAGTAACATTCACTGAATCTGGCACAAGTTTCCACCTTTTTAAACAATTTATGATGTCTCGATTTGATCTGCACTGAATGCCAATTAACAGACTTCGAGATTAGCGGAGAGTAAGGTGATGCATTGACCCCCAGCAGCTATAAGTTTCGCCGACATATCAGTGCTCTCCCGTCAACACTGGGCGCATGCGTCTCATTATCACACATAAGCCAATTTAATTTGTTTTTAAATCCAAGAGAAGTATCTCCGGAAACGATCAACATTCTTGTTCTTATTTGTATCAGATCATATTTTGATTTTTTAAAAATTCACTAGATTTATGGGATTGCTGCGCATCCCAGGCGACAAAAAAAACAAAAAAACAATTTATATTCTGTGCCTTGCCGTAGGAAAACGGTTAGCGATCTAGATTAGTTGGTTGCTACTATATAGGAGTGAGCTCGATCCTCATTGGGTACTCCATATCTGTGGCCGTGTGTCAAAACTAAGTCAGTGTCTTATGGTTCTCCGACCTGGTGTATTCGTTAGCAATTTTGTCTTGTTAGATCTCTTACGACTGAGTTCGGGCCACACTAGGTGTTCCATACATGCGTTCTTATGCTACGTTTAGCAAATCACTATTATCATAGTTTTTGGCAGATATATATTTTCTTCCCCTCCTCTCACCCCTCCGCCAAATATGAGGTTCATCCGGAAAGTATGCAGCCATTACATATTAACAAAAAATAGACTAGCTCGTGTAATGGTTATTTTCTAGGCGAAGCTTAGATGTGCCACAAGGCCGAAAGTATGCGGCACCTAGTGAGGATCAAACTCACTTTTCAGTAGTAATTGATTTAGTGAGACAAGCTTGCTAACCATTACACCACGGCGAGGCGCCTTGGTGATTTTCTAAGCGTGTCTTAGACGTGGAACAAGGTCGAAAGTATGGGGCGCCCAGTGAGTATCGAACTCCCTATTCAGTCTTAATTGATCTAACCAGACCACGTCAAGGTGCCCCTAGCTTGTGTAATGACTCAGTCTGTTTTTTTCTTTTACATAGTATGTCTTTCTTCTTCTTCTTCTTTTTCTTTTTCTTCTTTTTCTTCTTTTTCTCCTTCTCCTTCTTTTTCTTCTTTTTCTCCTTCTCCTTCTTTTTCTTCTTTTTCTCCTTCTCCTTCTTTTTCTTCTTTTTCTCCTTCTCCTTCTTTTTCTTCTTCTTTTTCTTCTCCCTTTTCTTTTCTTTCTTTTTTTTTTTGTAACAGTTGCTTTTTTTATCACTGTTTTTGTCTTGTAGCGTCTTAGCCCTCCAGGGATTATTCTCCTAGGAACTTCATCTATTTATCCAAGCGTCCTTTCCACTGTTCAAAATAATTTTCGACTCTCAGAGTCAAGATGTTATTGAACGTACTCAACTTCCCGAGAAGTGCATTGCTCAACATGTCCTAGTGCGTATTAGAAACAGGTTGCTGGATAATTTGCATAAGTATTCGGTCATACCCGGGTTTCCAAATCTCGGAACACCTTATTAAAAATCGGGTATCGTCCTTCCATGGGGACTTGTTCTCAGTGTTAAGCGAATAACATGTCAACTATCATTTGAAAGTCTTCGAAACAATTTATATTAAATCAAGACAACTGTCCTTATGCAAACAAAAGGTTTTCATGCTAGGACTTAGTATAATCTGTCTATAGATATACCAGCGTCAATACATTATTGATGCATCTGTATTTTCTCCCTCGTTTTTCCAGATGTAGGGGTTGTGTAATGGATAACGGCTCAGAATGTGAAATCGGAGAGCTGAGTTTGAATTCTGATCAAGCTCACTACATCCACTTACACTCAAATACCCTTGGGAAATGTATGAGTCCATTCCCCAACTATGGGTTAAATAGTAGGACTTGTAAATGGTAAAAATATTATTCTCAAAACGTTTTGAGGTTCTCTTTTAGTTTGGGGAACAGTCAAAAGTCACAGAGAATAAAGTCTGGACTCTGTCAACACAAAACTTGATTGCATGGCGAGTTTCCAAATTCTCTTCACATCCCAACTGCATTCAGCAAAGCAGTCAGCTGTGACAAGCTGTGTTTAGTACGGTGTGTTCAAAGAGCTTTTACAACCGTCTTCAATCTAGAATAACAGCATGTAGCATGTCAGATTTTGAGATGTATCGTAATTATATGCTAAAATTCAACTAATCTAGGACAGTTATAATTGCCTCTTCTAAATGTCTCAAAACTTTCGCAAGGCCCTTTGTATACTCCGATGCTAAAACATCCTAACGCACAATTATTTTGCGTATAATCTTCGGTGTACTTGAATTGGTTCAGTAAGAGTTTTGATCGCATCACAGAATTCTTCCGAGTTTTATCAAACAAGAACTGCCCACTTCTCATTACGAAGAATATGTATCTGATGTTCTCATACGTTTGATAGTTGACTCCGCTAATTGCCACTTGCTCGGCTATTGCCAATTGCTCGGCTATTGCCACATCCTGAAATTGGAAAGGTACAATGGCCCTTCTGATCACTTTGAATGTTTCTTCCACTTGACTGCAAATTGTCCGTCTCGGGTTATTCCTTACCTTGAGCTTTAATGTTCTGGCCACTTTTAGAAAAGCTAATTTTTTTTCTCGTATTACTGTGCCATGTGGCTAGTGTTATGAGAATGGCGTGCTTTTTTTTTTTCTTCTGTCCCATATTAATGCTCTCGATACGTCTGAAATAGAGAATGTTCAATTTGCGCATTGCCTTCCATTCATGTCTCGCTAAAGGCATGTTCTCAAATACCTGACGTATTCAATATGTAAACATCAACTCTCTCTCTCTCTCTCTCTCTCGTGTGCGCGCGTGCGTGCGCGGATGAGAATCCGACGGAATGGTAAATATGTAAGACAATTTGGAGAACTTCTATTTGGACATGTTTCGCCGATTTCCTGGCGCCAACAGAATTTTATTTCTCGAGAACAAAATCTAAATGTAAATTTTGCCCTTCTGAAATAAAATTCAGGTGACGCCTGATAATCGGCAAAACATGCCAAAAAAAAAAAAGAAAAAAAAACTTTCAATGCACGCATGTTGCAAAGATACCGATTCGACCTTTGGGAAAAGATTTTGTTTGTTCATTTGGTTAGGTTTTGAGAAGTTGGTCAAGCCTAGAATATTTCAGCGCCACATTCTATATATATATAATATATATATATATATATAATGTGATATTTTTATCGAAATATTTTGATCGATTGTTAAAGTAATGGTTGTAGCCGATCGAAGCTCGCTCAGATTTTTTTTTTCTTTCCTTTTATTTGTTCCCTGTCGTACGAATTCTACGGCCGACACCGTTTCTCATAATGCATCGGTAACGGAAACCAATGCCCCAGCCACCATGATTATGATGATGGCAGGAGTCGTCTTCGTTGTAGTAGTAGTAGTAGTAATATCAACATAAAGAGTAATCTTAATGGTGGCAGCGGCATCAATAATGGTGTAACGTAAATCGTGTTATTTTGCAACTGGGAAATCTGGGTAAAGGCGAAGCGAAGTTATACCATTTCACCGTCATCGTCATCCTTACATCTTTTTTTTATTATTTCCCTCTTCTTCTCATCCTATTTGTTTCGTAATGCAGTTGCGTTCAACTTTGAATTACGACTCCAACCTTTTTACGACATAGCTTTCTATCTCGCCTTTCTCTCACTTTCTTCTTCTTTTCTTTTTCTTTTTCACTCTTTTTCTTCTTCTTCCCTCCTCCGCTTCTCTCTCCTATTCTCTCCTCTGTTCTCATATTCTCTCCTCTCCTATTCTCGCCTCTGTTCTCCTCTCCTCTGTTCTCCTCTCCTATTCTCTCCTTATCTCTTTCTTCTCTCCTGTCCGTTTCTCTTTTCTACTCCCCTCTCTCATCATCCTTCTTTTTCTTTCCTCTCTCTATCTCTATCTCTTCTCTTCTCCTCTTTCTCTCTTCTTCTCCACTTTTCTTCTCCTCCTCCTCCTTTTCATCTTCTCTCTCCTAATTCATGATTTACATGGTCTTTCCTTTCCGTTGTCTTTTCTATTTTTTCGTCATTGTTCATATTGTTTCCTTCTCTGTTCTCAGAACCAAGTCCACCCAACCCAACCCAACCCGGACCCCACGCTCCAGTTATCTTTCTGTCCCCAGGTTTATAAATCCGCCACCCACCCACCACTCCTCTTTCAACGCTTACTTTCACTTTCGTATCTATGGTGATATCGCTTACGGAACTCGAGTAATTCCCTTCGTAATCGCGTATTGATCTCATCGTAAGCGGAACAGCGGGGCGTCGACCACACAGAGGGAGAAGCGACGGCATCGGAAACTGCTGTGGTAAAAGAGTACGATACATACAGTCAAACCACAACCTAGAAAAATAAGATTTAAGAAAACAAATTAAAACGAAGACAATATAAAAACTATTCCTTTCGGCTCATACGCCCAACAAAAATACAGTATGACGTTTCAATCGAGGATCGCCCACTTCCGAAAAATCATATTTTTATTTATATATTTTTGGGAAGTGGATCTGGCCAAGAAATTTTCAGTATCATTTCGTCTTTCATATTTTACCTTTCGTTTCTTTTTCCGGATAATTTTAATTTCGTTTCGCCCTTTTCTCTTTTCTATGTTGTTTTTTGTGTTTTCTTTCTTTCCTCTTTCTCTGCTCTTCTTCTCTCGACTTTTCTCTTTCATCTTCACCTCTTCTTTCTCTCTTTCCGATTTTTCTCATCACTTCTTGACTTTCTCTAAATTTTGGCAGGCTTTAACTTTCTTCCTTTCCTTTCTCTATACCTATCTATTCCCCCCCTCTCTCTCTCTCTCTCTCTCTTCCTTCGTTTCTTTCTCTCCCCTCCCTTCCTCTTTCTTTCCCTCTCTCCTCCTTCCTCTTTCCTTTCTCTCTCTCTCCTCCCTCCCTTTCCTTTCCTCCTCCCTCTCTCTCTCTCTCTCTCTCCTCCTTTCTTTTCTTTCTCTCTCTCCCCCTCTTTCCTTTTCTCTCTCTCTCTCCTCCCTCTTTCCTTTCTCTCTCTCTCTCTCCTCCCTCTTTCCTTTCTCTCTCTCTCTCCTCCCTCTTTCCTTTCTCTCTCTCTCTCCTCCCTCTTTCCTTTCTCTCTCTCCTCCCTCCCTCTTTCCTTTTTCTCTCTCTCCTCCCTCCCTCTTTCTTTCCGCCCTCTCCATCCCCACCCTCTTTCCTTTCTCTCTCCCACCTCCCACTATCGTTCTCTCCCTCTTCGCTTGTCTTCTCTCTCTTTCTCCTCGCTTGTCTTCTCTCTTGCTCTCACTTTCCATCTTTTCTCCGTCCCACTCTTTCCTCTCGCCCTGTCCTCTACCTGTTTCTCTCCCTCTTTCACCTTTTTTCTTCGTCTGCCACCCTCTCGTTATCATTTCAAATTCTCCTTTTATTCTCCCTATATACTCTCCCACTTGTTCTTTTACAATTTCCAACAGAATATTTTATATACTTTCCATTTAATTTGCTTCTCTCTTTACACAAACCCAAAGGTGATTGTTTTTTGTTTATACTTAACAAGCAAGATTCAAATTCTGTGTCTCTCTCTTTCGTCATCCCGAAAATAAAAATAAAAATAATAATAAAAGTACACTTTTCCATTAAACCTTTTGAATTCTTTTAAAACTTAAATCTTTCTTTTGGTCCCGTGCAGTTATCACCATGGCGTGTTATTATATTTTTATGTCACTGTTGTAATTTACGTAAATATATAAAAACAAGCAAGCATCGTAATTACAAATGTAAAAACTCGGCCATGCCACTCGAAGATGAGACCATCAAATAATTTTCATTTCAGTTGTTGCTAAATAACATTCTTGGTTTTATTATATATTATTTGCATTAATTACACTCTGACAATTGTCTTTACGTTTGTTATTATTTATTACAACGTTTCGGCTGCTGTGCCCGCTGGCCTTCATCAGATCTCTAGTCCGGATAGTGTAAATTTAGACTCAGTGGAAACAAGACTAGCAATAACTGAGCTGTAATAAATAAGAATTAAATGAGATATTCCTAGAGATGACTAACGGATTGACAAGCACCTGATGAATGCCGGAGAGCACAATGACTGAAACGCTGTGATAATGACAACAAAGATGAGGACAATTGTACATGATGTAAAAAAAATGATAATTCTTCATCTTCGTAATTCAAACAGAAATTCTTGGTTTTACTGAAGATAAATAAAAATGTATGGATGTTTCTTAATTAAATTCGTGAAATTATTAATAAAAATGCTTGGCTATGCGCCTTGCTGAACGATATGAAATATAAATATTTTCCATTATTACATTTTTGTAATGAGAGCTGAGTTTGAACTCATGGCGAGTTCTTTACATTCGCTTACGTGCTAATACCCTTGAGAAAGGTATGAGTCCTCTTCTTCTCCCCCCAGCTATGGGTGAATAGCAAGATAGACCGGTTTCTATAGCCTGGGATGGCAACTAGTCTACTTTTTGAAATGGTATTAATCAATTTTTTGTCTCTTCCCAACTACGGGTTAAACAGTAGTACTTTCATCTGGAAAAAAATTATTGCTATCTCAAAAATTTGTCAATGGAATATTCACTCGAAAAACAACGAAAAAATATTATTACAATCCAAAAATTTTTCGGCTTTAAATAACCCACACAAGAGGTTGATAAACCGTAAAAAAACAAATCGGACAATCTCTCACTCATGTACATTATTCGATTGTGGCCTCGGGCCTTCATCAAGTGCTTGTCGATCCGGGTAACCTTCTAGGAATTTAGAAATGAACCCTGTCTTTAAACAACGGGGGGTTGAGCGCTTTCGTTCTGACGTCCATATACCATCTAGTTTTATTTATTTATTTAGTACTTTTCGGTTACTTCTCACCCTGGATAATGAAGAAGACACAATTATTGAAACGTTGTGATAACACGAAAGATGATGTGAAAATTCAGGTAGAAACAATCGTCATTGTTGTTTAGATAAAATGCTCCGAATGAATTAATTTAATGAACTTTGCTTTACATTTCTTTTCAGGCCAATTCATGACGCCGTGGAAAATGACCACATTGAAATGGTACGGCTTCTCTTATCATTTGGTGCTGATCCTCTGCTAACGACGTACAGTGGCAAATCCCCGATGAAAATCGCACGCTCCGGCAGAATGATAAACCTTCTCAAAGGTAAATCCATTTACACAGATCACTTCCAACCATTGGTTCACGTTCAATTGTTTACCAATATTCTCAGCAATCCATCAAGCATTTTCAGATTAGATTTTACTGGTTGACTATTCCGAGTCGTCTGTTCATATTATCGGTTAACTTGCAATCGTTTTGAATAGACCAATCCTATTTGTCTATTTGAATTTAAAACATAAAACTTTAACATGTCGTAATAATGTCTTCACCCTTCATACAGCCGTGTTCGTCGGTTGTGGGTAATGACAAAACATGGCTTGGTCTTGCAGGTCTGTATGAGCAAAGCATGCTTTATCACATCGAGCGCAGGAGAAGATCTGGCAGCCATTAAAAACTCCGGCCTTACCCTTACTGAACCACGCTCTATTCTATCTGATTTCAAATTTTGAGCCGTTAACGATTATACCACCCGTCTCTCCAAGCTTACAGCACCTGGTACTCTCAAGCGGTCACCCATCTACGCACTGTTCAGACTCAATGCTTAATTTCGGTGATCGTACGAGAAACCAGTGTTTCAACGGGATATGGCCGTTAGACGTGTGTGTGGAGGGATCGTTTTTATATTGTATCTGTTGCGTTATGTGAGAAAACTCTATGATTTTTATACATCAAATACAATTTTATGAAAATTTTCCATTTTATCATAGATTATCCTAACACACACACACACACACACACACACCTCTCTATCTATCATATATATATATATATATATATATATATATATATATATATATTAACCGATTTAAAAATATAATTCCTTCGATACACAGTAAATACCATGTTTCAAAAACCGAAGCTAAAAACTTCAAATTTAATTATATAATTAAATTAAAAGCATTAATTTTGTTTTATCTTCAAGTGAATTTTGGAATCCAAAATTCGCTTCGGTTTTTGAAACATGGTAATGCATGTGTAGCGAAGGAACCATATTTTAAAATCAGTTAATTTATAATATTTATGCTCTGTAAATTTACATTGAGCACTGTTTTGTAAAAATATCAATAAGAACACCGGATTATATATCTTACTGTTCTTTCTTCTTCTTTTTTTTTTTTTTACTATAATATATATATATGGTGTCCCCTCAAAAAAAAAACCTGACATTCTAGCCCAAATGATCTCAAAGTTGATTGTGCAGACTTAAAGAGAATCTGCGAAGAAGAAGAATCGAGCCTGCCAGTGATAATGACAATGTGCTGTTGAAATAGCCACCATCTTCAACTAACTTGACACCTTGTGATTTTTTTTCTATGGGGATGCAGAAGGACATGTCTATATTTCTTCTCTTCTTAAAAGCCTTGAGAAACTTAAGCAGAGGACCTCTGTGTCAATGGGGAATGTTACGCAAAACATACTACAACGTGTTTAGCAGGAGCTGGATTACCGACTTGACGTGTGTCGTGTCACAGGTGGTATGCTCATTGAACGTTTGAGAAGCTTTGTGAAATGGGTTATAAAATTTACATCTCTTTTGAATATATTGATAAATAAACATTTTATTGTTCAACATGAAGCTTATTTAATTTCGTTTGCCTGGGACATGTACTTACTCAGATATTCACATCTTAAATGATGTCAACTATTTGTGGGGTCACCCTGTATATTTGGGACAATTTTACACCGTCTAACCCCCAATCAAGCAGAAACATGTAAGAATATTAGAAAAATTCACTAAAAATGAATAAAATTCCTCGTCTGTCACATTCAACGAACGAAACAAACATATTTGAAAGAAAGGTTGCTGGCCATATATATATGTATGTCTGTTTATATTTCTGGGATGAGATATTATGTACATTATTTACACTACTGTCCTCATCTTTGTCGCCATATTTATCACGTTTCGGCCGTTGTACGCTCCGGCCTTCTTCAGGTGGTTGGAATGTCGAACTGAACCCTTTATTTCGCCCACCGGGGTAGACTGTTCTAGTACCACGTGCCATGTTTGATGGATGTCAGTTATCAGTTATCGCCTGTTAATTTCCCTCTGAACGTTCTCCACTGCCATAACCGGGTATTGAACTCACACTCCTTGGGTCCTGTCACTGGATCTAACCAACGCCTTTATCCACATGAGGACATCTGGGTATGAATTTCTGGGTATTATAAACCTAATGTCTTCAGCAATCATAGTCCGAATAATGTAAATAATATATATGTATGTATGTATGTCATCCACAGACGGAGAGTTTCGCTGTATCTACAGCTCTTACGACGTCTTGTGGTTAGACGTCCGATTGATCGAAACCCGACCGATTTGGCATCAGTCAGTGTTCCTACCCCTACGCTATCGGAAGAGAAAAAGGGAAATCTTAACGTTTTCTATACGAATTATTAATTAATACATATAAAAGGTTTGTCACTTGGCTGATTGATGTTACCTACAGCATTCTGACTCAAGAATTTGGTAGAGGAACCCTCTGGGAATCACTCCGTCCACTCGTCAGCGGGTAGCAGCAATTGAATGCTTATACTTCTCGATTTTTTTTTTTTAGGCACTTTTCATTGATTTTTCTCTTCTTTCCTAGTGTATGTGGGTGCTTTTTTGCGCGTGTGCCCCTCTGTGCGCAGTGCGTATTGCTTTTATGTCTGTATATGCCTTTTGTGTGTTTTTAATGTAGATGCAAAAGCTCTCATAGTTCCTACTTAATAACTATAGACTGAATAAAGTGTTGAAAACCAGTTTTCGATGAAAACTTTTGCACAGCCACTTATATACAGCTCGTATACTCTCTTCTATAGACTCTTGCTCTTCCTTTTTCTATCATTTTGATTCTTCTTAGTGTAAAGCGGGTGATGAAAAATTCTCAGCTCACTACCCTCTCCCAATTCTGACCAATTACGAAACAGATTTAAAATTTCTTTCAAAGGGATTTCTGACCGGGCCTGTAGCTTTTCAGTTCCCGCTCCTAAAAAGGATTTTCCTGCTATCCCTATTGTATTTTCTGCTACATTAATTAAAATTACAACCAAATCAAAACATTGCAAACATAAATTCTTCCCTTTAAAATGTTTCAAAAGGAAACGCACACACACACAATTTTTATATTGTTGCAAATCAATTCTCTCACTCGAGTATAACCAATTTATGTTGCTATTCTAAGCAAGCAAGCTCTCCCCAGTTGGAAGATTGGCGTAACACAATTCAGATTTCCTCTCCTATTCACGCTGTCCTAGATTAGTGTAAGCTTTTCCCGCCAATTTTTTTTTCTTTTCACACACAATATTAAACCACACCTTCTTAGAGAAACCGGTCCGAAATTTAAAAAAAAAAAAAAAAGAAAGAAAGAAATTATTTAGGTTGACAAGTCTGTCTTTATTCAATATCGAACTCTATCGCCAGTTAACAGCATATCACGAATTGGTGCTAAACAGTCTTCCAGAAAAGAGAATATATTAAAAAGCCTTCAACCAGATCTTAGCTGAGCCAAGTAAACGACGAATCAATTTTCAATATTGTTTCCATTTGTCTTTCAGATCACATAAGCGACATGAATGGTGATGACAGCCATGAAGTTACACCTTGGGAATTTCATGGGTCTTGGAACATACAAGGTAAGCCAGTGGAGTTTGTTTACTTCAGGGAGGAGGGGGTACATTTTAAAATCTATTAGAAACACATATTTCCGATCTCTCTCTCTCTCTCTCCCACACCCACATTAATTGTCTTTTTCTTCTTCTTCCTCTCTCTTAACTTTTCAACGCCTATTCACCTTCTAACACCTCTTCACCACCGCCACCTTTTGTATTTGCTGAGAGTGTTAGCCATCTCAGTGTGAGTTAACTCTTTTCCCACCAAATTATTTTCTGGAAAAACGTTTCAATTTCTGGCGATAATTTTTTATTTGATTTTAATATAGTAACAAACAGACCTTGAAGTACCCGAGCGGTGGCTATCACCTCTACCAGACGTATGAGTTGACAATCGTTTCATGGTCAGAAGGACATAAAATGAATCGACATATAAACACGGCTCTAGCTGGTTTTTAACATTCTTTTGGACGTGTTTATTCGTCCGTACCTGAAAAAAAATTACTTTCTGTAAAAAATGTATATACATGTCTACACCGGGGAAGACGTTAAGGGCTGGCGAGGTTGTCTGACTATTAATATTTGGTAATGAGTTCGATTCCCACTGGGTGCCGTATATCTGTAGCTTTGGGTCAAAGTTCAGTTTAATAATAACTGGCGCGAGAATAGACGTACAGTGCGATTCGAACGAAATTAAAATGGGTACAATTTTATCGTTTTGTTATCTTAATTTGATTAATATAACTAAAAGCTTAATTGTTTTCTTTTGATTTTTCAACATACTTGTGGTCGCATCGATTGACTTGGTTAAATCCATCACTTCATGCTTTTAAAGATGTAAAACACATAATCTATTAACAATCTGATCGCAATCTAAATAATATTCATTAAAAAAAATTATTGGATTTTACTCGGTTACCTTTTACCAGATTTTGAATTCTGACAGTTTTTGTCCCCACATGCTTTGACTGGGTCAAAGTTCAACCACCTAATGAATATTCATGAATGTTCTCAAATTTAACGGTCTTGATAAACCAATGACATCATCGTTTTTTGTATATAAACACATGCAACAAAATAAATCCTACATTACTTTGATAAGGCCCCTCAGATGACGAAACGCCTCGGCTAAGAATAGTTTTGTTATATATATATGTTCAGCCTGCACCGTAAATAAAATGTCAAAGGTCGGTTTTCCAGCCTATAAAAGAAAAATATATCGTGTGTGTACGTTTAAAAATACTGTTATAAATTATATAATATATCTGTAAAGAGACAGTATGAACATAGACAAAAGGAAAAGCTATTCTTCACCAACGCGTTTCGTTCTCAGATGGACATTTTGATAAAGTCAATTACAGGATTCATATTATCAAAATTCCTCCTGTATTTTATTACGGAGTGATTTCGTGTAGAAAGTGTCTAATCTTGTTATCAGTAATGTTATTGACGCGGGGCTGAGAGAGACCTGGACAAAGTCTCTCCGTCTATAACAAAGCAATCGAACGGAAAATGGCTTCTGTAACTATAATCAATGTTGACATACGAAATCATTGCTTCACAAAAACAATACAACTAATCTTATGGATATTTAATGAATAATTTGGTTCCTGTTTTTTTATTTGTTTTTTTTCTCAAGGTCAAGATGTGGTGGCTTTTTTCGTTTTAATGTTTTTTTTTCTCAAGTCATCGACAATGGATGGGCTGTCATTTTCATGAACTAAGAATTCATACATTACACTTTAAAGCAGGATACACCAAAGGGCGTATCCAGCGACACAATGCAACTGTGATTAGCCCCAGACGACGATGAAAAATTTGTGTGTGTGTGTGTGTTCTTTCTAATTGTGAATTGATATGACCTAGGGGTAAAAAAAAAAAAGCCAACAGAGAACAACCGGTTGAGTCCTACCCACGCCTGTCTGTTCCGATGAGTAACAACTCTGATATGTAATCGCTGGACTCTTTTTGGTGTAAAGGAATGTCACCGCTATTTAAAAATAAAGAATAGTCATGCAAGACTTGACAGGAAGTACTTGAAGTAATGGTGAAGGACGCGACCGACGTCTGTTATTTTATTGTTCAAAAGGAGGACAAGGAACTTCCGGTTTGTGGTAGAGTAAGCCAGTCCCAGTAAAGAGAAAGCAGTTTAAATTTGTTGAGGTTGGGATGATATTGGAGATGTTATGGGCACATTTTCGTGACTAGCAAAAGCAAATTGAAAGCTATAAAAGCTATAAAAATTGTTTTTCTCTGACATAAAATGCTTTCTTAGCCTGATTTGTTTTTGAAGGGGGAGCGGAAAAACAAGGTTGACTTATGCCGAAGTATTAATTTTTTTCTTGGTTGAGCTCATCACAAGTATATACGATAAACGCTTTTATGCACCCCATGAAAAGATAAAGGGGTTCAAATTTTGCTTCTGTTTTTGGTTGGTTGACCGAAGCAAGTGAATGATGGGGAAGTCGTGGAGCAACGTGTTTCTTTCAGAAGGGAAAAACAAAAAAAAAACATTTGTATTAAACGAAAATTTAAATTTTGATTGGTTTGAATAAAATAAACGACGAAAAGTATAAAATATGTTTTATCAGTGTAAAACGTAATGTAATTGTGCTTCTGTTATGTACCTTTGGGAAAATGTAAAGAATCTGCGACATTAACAGTCGTAACCTGGCATCTTGGACATCGCTGTAAGGTAGCTTCCTTGTGCCATTTTTCTTTAAATATTTTCCCAGTATTTGTTCTAATGAACTTTCCTATTCTCTATATGAAAAAAAAATAGTTTTTCTTTTCATATTGTAAATACTTATTAAGGTTAGTTATTTTTTTTAATTGTTGTTTTATTCCCCCCCACACACACACCACAACATTGAATTGTACATATTAGGACTAATTAGGAATTCATACTTTCTGAGGCATTATGGTGGTTGAAGTAAGAATGGCAAGAATGCGTTGTTTTGATGTAAGGAATATTGTAGTATGTTTGGGTCAGTGTTTGTGGCTAGCTAAGTTTAATGTTAAGACAGAACAAGACCGTCCTTTTCCCCATTCCCCTTTGGCCTTATGTATTTATCATACAAATAAATATCACTTTCCTATGCTCATTGGCCCCTTTTATTTTCGTCCCCAATTTCTTTACTTTACTTCCCCTTTATCTCCTCCGCTAGGTGAGAAAGATGTCAGTTCTCTGGTAGATGTGGGCCGCTGTTCGTTTTTCGAGTGTGTATTGCGTATTTGTTTTTGTTTTTGTTTGAATGGGTGTGTGTTTGAGTGAGTGCTTGGTCGAATTATTTTTCTTAATTAGCTAGTCCCGCATTAATTTCGTCTAGTTAACTGATTTTCTGATACATTTAAGGATTGTGTTGTTTTTACTTCTTTTTTTTTTTTTTTATTACTAACTCTGTTTTGTTTAGTTTCTTTTATATAAATTGTATTCATTGTAAATATTCATTCGGGTTTCATTTTTAAATGTTATCTCATCACCCCCTGCCCCACCAGACAAATTATATATATATATATATATATATATATATATTATATGGGAACTGGTTAGAACTACATAGAGACTTTGTGGTATTATAGTGGCTGTAGTAAAAATGTGTCCTTTTGGTTTAAGTAATACTGTAATATTTTTTCGATCAGTAATCGTGGCTAGATGAGACAGATTGAAGACCAGCCTTCCTCCTTTTGGCCTTGTGCCTGATGAGGCAGAATTTTTCCCGCAGTAGGTTGCCATTTCTTTCTGCAGTAGACTAGCCATCCAAGGCTATAGAACCCGGTCTGTCCTGCTATTCACCCATAGCTAGGGGGAGAAGAAGAGGACTCATACCTTTCCCAAGGGTATTAGCACGTAAGTGAATGTAATAGATTCGACTGGAATTCGAAATCGGCTCTACGATTCCTCAATCCAAGCTGCTAGCCATTACTCCACTCCTTCAATTTAGTCACCAAAGCAAAATGGCTGTGTCGGCTGAATGTAGTACGTCTTTTACTGAAAACTGAATATAGGCTGCTATCAATAAGGTCTTTATTATTACTGTGCGGAGTCGGGGTGTTCGAGGTAAGCAGGGGCGGGACGTCAGCGGTTAGTCGGTTGACATTTGGACCAGCACAAATTTCACGTCTCGTTCAACGCCTACCAAATTTCAACCCCCAACTCACCCAATAAAAAAAAGACCGTCACTCAAATGTCAAAGTTAAAAGTGCACATCACTTGAAACTTGGTGCTTTCATCAGTTCAACTGTATTTTCTGCTATCTTCGTCACTTTGTGTATTGCTTGTAAATAAATACGTAGGGGTACCTCGAAGCGGTGTAATGGTGAACAAGTTTGTCTCGCTAGAACAATTACAACTGAGTAGTGAGTTCGATCCTCACTGGGTGCTCCATATTCTCGACCTTGTGCCACATCTTGTTTACGCTTGGAAAATGACTATAAATAAATGCGTTTGTCGTATTTCCTTCTATTAAGGGACACTGCGATACTACCAACCTTTTCCAATTTCTAGTGGCAAAATATCCGTACACAAGAGTAGCTCTCGTATTTGGTTCTGGCCTGCTTAAAATGATTCAATTCTATATGCCTTGTGGGCGATCATGACACTCCACAAATTCCCCTTTCATGTAAATTTAAGTAACGTTTACCCATTTATTACTCAATTCTTCTTTTTCGTTCAAAATTTCAAGTAGGTTATTTGCTATTATTTACAATATATTCTGTGAGTGTTAAATTCTCCAAATCTTCTTTCCTCAATAAATACTAGAGTAATTCAAGCTGTTTCTTTTTTTATTATAAGCATCAGTTTCCTTGTCTCTCTTATTTTCCTTAAAACGTCGACGTTCCTCATGTATATTAGCCAAAGTAGTTTCGGCCTTCGACGAAAGAACCCCAAATCTGTATATTAAAGTTCGCTTCCTTTATCTGTGACGAAAATATCCACATGTCACTGCCATGTTAGATGTTACATGTTACATAACAGATTAACACTCTTTGTTTCTAAAGGTATATTTTCCTATTTCTTAAAACTTTGATTAGTTTCTGATAACCATCTTTCACTATTTCTCAGACCGTTCAGATATCTATGTCACGCTTTCCGTTGTTTGTCACACCAGGACACAGTTCGTCTATCGTTGTTTAATTTTGAAGTCCCCAATATGTAGTTTGCAATTTTGGATGTCTCTTTTGTTGACAACCGTGCATTGTCTTTTTAAAGTTAATACTATAAAAAAAAAAAATTCGCTTTAAACAAGGCGATAAAACCACTAAGACGCAAGGTGCTACTGAGTGTGAAAGTAACTGATAAAATGATATGGCGGAGAAAGAGTATTAAAAGAACATTATTCAAAAAGACAGATGACGGCGATTGACGCTGCATTGACATTTTTGAAAAATGTAACAGCAAAGCAAGAAGCCTCAAGAGAATTCCACAAGCGAGAAGTGAGAGAGAATGAACAGTTTGCATAGAACATACGGTTACATTTAACGACTTCGACAGTAAAATGAGAAGACCTAACTGCCAATCTAGTGATGCGCTTAAATTCATGAAGTCCAGGTATCAACGAGGAAAGCTCATCAGAACAATTGACATGAAGATATTTCTAGAAAAGGCGCAGGAAATCGACGTTATGGCGGTGAGAAAATGACCAAAGCAGAGATGCCAGGTGATGACCAGCAACGATGCAGATTCTTATTTGGAATTTCTCAAGAATCTCTAGATACAAAGCAGAAGCACCAGTTGAAATGTGGTAACAATATTCAAAGTATGGACGAATGACGGACTTATAAAGATATAAAATGGATTCTAGTGAGAAATATTGTCTAGGGCGACACAGTGCTATATATATCGGGCGTCATTGAAGCTAGCTCCTGCGCAGGGCTCTTGATTGGGCCTTCATCACAATTGGTATGGCGGAGTAGATGTCATAGACAACAATAACCTACAGAAGAACTCAAAATTGATCGCTGCATTTAATATTTAAGTTTACCTTTTAAAAGTTCAACGATAATTCTTTTGAAGCCACTTAATTTAATTGATGTACGTAGGTCCTTATTTTCCATACAAACAATTATTTTTATTTCATGGGTGACTTTCGCAGGATGCCGCAATTAATTTCGATCCTTCCCAAATTAATTTCCAAGTTATAAAACTAAAAAGAAAAAAATAGCCGAAAAGAATCACAGTAACGAAAATTTGGGAATTTAAAATTTCAGGATTGCGGCTCCAGATCCGACCTGCAATCTTTTTAATTTGCTCACTGATTCGGCCTGATTCCAAAATGGTATGATATGTTGGGCTACAGCCTTTGGGAGTAAAGTTGAAAAAAGTATGACACAATGACACACTGACATTCGAATTTATTATATAGATATATCGCAGTACCTTGTCAGCTGTCTTTAACGAAACATATACACACATACATGCATATATTACATACGTACATGTGTCTATTTTTTTTAATTTTAATTTAAGTCAGCGAATCGATAGCGAATTATGCATCGAAAAATAATTCGTATTTATCTGTATCTCACTTATTTAAACCTTTATTTAATTCCTCTCCTTAAAACTTCACTGTTAAATTTTAATCCTCACCTTTAGGCCTTCCTGTTCTTCTTTCTTCTGTTACCCCTCTCTAGAGCTTTCATACATTTCCTTGTTCCCCACTCCCACGCATACACTCTCACTAAAATTTTATTTTTTATACCCGGAGTTATATTTTCCGATTTCTTTTTAAATTTGTAGGTCTGATGATTTGGATCGTGATTTCGATTCCAATGCGATAAATTATAACCATGGTATATGAGTGCTTGAGCCTTTTTTATTATATTCTGACTCTGTCCTGGACATTGAGTTCTACCTGGATTCTATCCTCTTGGAAATATAATATATATATATATATTGGTTTTTCAAATATATATATATATATCTTGGTTTTTCAAAAATTTCCAGCAAAAAACGTGCTTCAAACGTAAATTCATTATCTAGTTTTCAAAATAAATAAATAAAAAAATGTGCTGGGTACTTTTGCACAAATTCAATAATAAAATTTGGGTGGCGTTGAATCTTAGATTATCACCAGAAATGATTTGCCAACAATCAGTAACACAATGATTCTACGGCAAAGTATCGATCATTAATCGATCAGATTGGGTCTCCTCGGTGCCAACGACCCTGTGACGTTTTTTTAGCCACCAGGTTGAATCGATGAAGACGATGATGTCGATGGTGACCTTTTTGCTTTCGTGGCCAACAATGTGCACTTAACAAACCATTTCCTTTTTCTTTTCTTTCCGGCTACACGTCTTCAATCTCCTCCCCACTTCTCTCTATCCTCTCCAAATCGGCTTCTTTTCCACGCTATAACTTTCGACTCCGCATGCGTTCCTATTGCTTGATTCCAACGTTCGCATCTCATTTTGCTAATGTTGCTCTTCCTCAGCACGTCTATTTCAACCATCCGTATCCAAGTTACAGATAAAAGAAAATTTAAAAAATACAAAACCAAAACAAAAACTGTGACCCATTTCCCGAAACCGAGACTTCATCTTTGGTTAACTTATTTGCAATGGCCGAGAAGAAAGAGACAAAGATTTACTTTATTTGTAAATATAAGCATCAGCCAAATGCACTCTGTACCCGGCGCTTATTTACTTGCTATCTCATCTCTTGCATTTTCACCTCTACTTCTCTGATCTTTTTCATTCTACTTTTCTTTATATATAATCTCCTACTTTCTTTCCATCTTTATCCTCTTTAATTTTCTTTTCATTTTTAACTTTTTTTTTTTTTGATACTCTCTTGCTTTACTTCTTTTTTTTGTTTCTTGCTCATTTTTATTCTTCCCCAGTCTATTTGTTTTCTATAATGCCGTCTGTCTTCGCCTTTTTCTGATCCCGTTCTCTCTCTTTCTTTGTTATTTTTTTTTCTTATATCACTCTTCTTTCCTTTTGCTTATTCTTGTAAGCCTCTTCTCTCCTTTTGCTTATTCTTTTAACCCTCTTCTCTCCTTTTGCTTATTCTTCTAAGCCTCTTCTCTCCTTTTGCTTATTCTGTTAAGCCTCTTCTCTCCTTTTGCTTATTCTTCTAAGCCTCTTCTCTCCTTTTGCTTATTCTGTTAAGCCTCTTCTCTCCTTTTGCTTATTCTTCTAAGCCTCTTCTCTCCTTTTGCTTATTCTTGTAACCCTCTTCTCTCCATTTGCTTATTCTGTTAAGCCTCTTCTCTCCTTTTGCTTATTCTTGTAAGCCTCTTCTCTCTTTTTGCTTATTCTTGTAACCCTCTTCTCTCCTTTTGCTTATTCTGTTAAGCCTCTTCTCTCCTTTTGCTTATTCTGTTAAGCCTCTTCTCTCCTTTTGCTTATTCTGTTAAGCCTCTTCTCTCCTTTTGCTTATTCTTGTAAGCCTCTTCTCTCCTTTTGCTTATTCTTCTAAGCCTCTTCACTCCTTTTGCTTATTCTTCTAAGCCTCTTCTCTCCTTTTGCTTATTCTTCTAAGCCTCTTCTCTCCTTTTGCTTATTCTTCTAAGCCTCTTCTCTCCTTTTGCTTATTCTGTTAAGCCTCTTCTCTCCTTTTGCTTATTCTTGTAACCCTCTTCTCTCCATTTGCTTATTCTGTTAAGCCTCTTCTCTCCTTTTGCTTATTCTTGTAAGCCTCTTCTCTCCTTTTGCTTATTCTTGTAAGCCTCTTCTCTCCTTTTGCTTATTTTTGTAAGCCTCTTCTCTCCTTTTGCTTATTCTGTTAAGCCTCTTCTCTCCTTTTGCTTATTCTGTTAAGCCTCTTCTCTCCTTTTGCTTATTCTTCTAAGCCTCTTCTCTCCTTTTGCTTATTCTTCTAAGCCTCTTCTCTCCTTTTGCTTATTCTTGTAACCCTCTTCTCTCCATTTGCTTATTCTGTTAAGCCTCTTCTCTCCTTTTGCTTATTCTTGTAAGCCTCTTCTCTCTTTTTGCTTATTCTTGTAACCCTCTTCTCTCCTTTTGCTTATTCTTGTAACCCTCTTCTCTCCTTTTGCTTATTCTTGTAACCCTCTTCTCTCCTTTTGCTTATTCTTCTAAGCCTCTTCTCTCCTTTTGCTTATTCTTGTAAGCCTCTTCTCTCCTTTTGCTTATTCTTGTAACCCTCTTCTCTCCTTTTGCTTATTCTGTTAAGCCTCTTCTCTCCTTTTGCTTATTCTTGTAACCCTCTTCTCTCATTTTGCTTATTCTTCTAAGCCTCTTCTCTCCTTTTGCTTATTCTTCTAAGCCTCTTCTCTCCTTTTGCTTATTCTGTTAAGCCTCTTCTCTCCTTTTGCTTATTCTTGTAACCCTCTTCTCTCCTTTTGCTTATTCTTGTAACCCTCTTCTCTCCTTTTGCTTATTCTTTTAACCCTCTTCTCTCCTTTTGCTTATTCTTGTTAAGCCTCTTCTCTCCTTTTGCTTATTCTTGTAACCCTCTTCTCTCATTTTGCTTATTCTTCTAAGCCTCTTCTCTCCTTTTGCTTATTCTTGTAACCCTCTTCTCTCCTTTTGCTTTTTCTTCTAACCCGTCTTTTTTCCTATGCTTTTTTTTTGCTATCCCGTCTTCTTTCCGTCTTTGCCTTAACTTCGATCCCGCCTTTACTTACTTGTTTTTCTTCTATCCTTCTTTCTTTCTTTTTCTTTTTAATCCATTCTCTTACCTCCTTACTTACTTTTTTCTCTTTTCTAATATATTTGTTTTCAGTATCTATCTGAGATGAGGTATTATGATTATTAGTATTATTTACATTATTCGGACTGCTATCCTCATCTTCATTGCCATATTCTCAACTTTTCTGCCGTTGTAATCTCCGGCCTTCTTCAGGTAATTGGAATTTGGAACCGAACCCTTTATTTCGTCCACATGGGTAGATTTTTCTAGTACCACGTGTCAAGGACACATGGCCCAGTAAATAAGACGTTGTTTAGATCCAGTAACTACACCCAAAGAGTAGTGAGTTCAATACCAGGCCACAGCATTGTTAAACCAAAAACCTGTAAAGTTGAGTTTAAAAAAAAATAACTGAGACATCAGGTAGGGGCATCGCGCATGGGACTAGAACAATCTACCCCGGTGGACAAAATAAAGGGTTCGATTCAAAATTCCAATCACCTGAAAACGGCCGGAGCGTTCAACGACCGAAACGTTGTAAATATGGCAATGAAAATGAGGACAACAGTCTGAATAATTTAAATAATACTAGTAATATTTGTTTTCTTCAATTCTTTTTCTTCCATTTTCTTTTTCTATTGTCGTCTCCCCAAAACGGTTTTCCTGGTCTCTCTTTATTTTATTTAGTTTTTTTTTTCTCTTTCCTCATCTCACACTCTTTTCCCCTCTCCATTCTTCTTCTTCTTTTTCCCTACTTTCTTTCTATTCTTCACCTTTTCCTTATTTCTCTTTCTTCTTTGCTTTGCAAGCTCTTCTCTCTTTTCCACTTCCTCTCTAGTCCTTCCATTTTCATCTCTTTTCTTTTGCTCTTTCAACTTCCTCTTCTTTTTCCCCTATTTACTTTGTCCTTTCCTCGATTTTCCCTTCCCCCTCCCCAATTCCTCTATCGTATCGATTACGATCATCATGATAATAACAAGAACAATGTTAATAATAGCGATATTGATATCTTCCGATCTGTAACACGGTCTCCTATTCGCCAGCCTTGGGAATAAATAGACGCAATGAATTCGCTTAAATCGTTTGTCGATAAGCCGATTTCAGCATAAGAGACAACGCCATCTTTAATGCCTGCTAATGTGTTTTTCTTTTGAAAGCATTGACGCATCTTCTAGCTTTATAATTTTCCCTTTAGTTCTTGCAACAGAATTGCGCTCAATGAGTTAAAAATTCAAGCCAAAAGTCTGTCGGTCTCTCGATCGGGCTTAAGAATACATCGATTGCAGAAGGAAGAACTCCTCAATAAATGGACACATTTGTTTTCCGCATCTATGTTTACCCTTTTATCACTCTCGTGCAAACTTTTTGATTGTCTTGCAAAGCGGATCCGTGTCTATGTTTTTTTGACTCTTGTACAAAAGCAGATTCACATATCTACTATTTGACCCCCTCTTTTTGTATACCAGACTCAAGTGCCGCCTGGAATTTTTTGCCTGTGGCAATTTTTCAACTTGTAAAATAAGAGGGATCTTTTTATTCCTGGAACAAAATAATCGTGCCGCTGAGAAAATTATTATATAATCACCTGGGAATGGGTGAAATTGAAAGAAATCATCGGTAGGTTGGCAGTGGAAATATTGTTGGCTCCTATGACATGTCTATACCATTTCATGTAAAGTATAAATTATAGTAATGTTGAAATCAAAAGTGTTTAAGTTAAAGGCAATATTTGAAAGACTGAAGGTGTCCGGATTAACATCTATCTATATAAATAAAGCGCAGTGTACGTGTGTCAGTCCGTCCGTCCGTTTTTTGATCTCGGCTAATCATAAACAACCTGAAGTAAACGGTAGTAAAATTAAATAAATAGGTAAGTCATTTAAAGTTAAATTTAAATATCGAACAGAGTTAAAGTTTAAAAAAAAAACAGTTATTTATTAATGGTTTAACTTTAATTTCGCTATTCGTCGCAATTGCAATTGATATCGTTTAATTAAAACTTAAGCGGGACACGGTACGTTGCACATATGTTTCTTTTCCCCTTTTCGAGCATGCGCACTGTGGCGCATTTGAAATATTACATAGTTCGGGTTCCCTAATGCCTAGTGACTTTATGTGAAGCGATCATAAAGAATGCTAATTTTAAAAGAAAATAAATATTGTGTGCAAAATAAATATAAACAAACAATGGAGATCAGTTGCGTATACGAAGAAAGATTATGCCGACGTAAGGTGTCGAATAAACATAAAATAATTTTATTTCTAAATTTTTATAACTTTTATCTACATAGGTCACTGTAGGTAAATGGCCGAAGGCCCAAAAGTCCACCGGAAGTGCAAAATAATGAAAGTTATTAAAATAGGATACGGTATTAATTAAATATGTCCGTATGACCTAGATCATTTGAATTTAGTTTGCTTGCATAATAAAATCTGACACCCTCCAAAACAAGTAACTATCAATTTTTTTAAATAAGGGTAAATATTATTACTGAAAGTTACAAACACTGTGAAAAAATCATATAAAAAAAATGTTACCAACATGGAAAAAATGTTACCAACATCGCTTCTTTAATACCATTTTAAGCCATGTTCAGACCATGTTTCGCTACTTCTTATTTTATTCATAGGCTAAAAAGTGGCACAGCCTCTTGTATCGAGGATGGCCTTCTACCAGGGCGGCTAGCTCATCCCCATTGCAGACACCTGCTCAGAATGGTTTATACTGCGACTATGCTAAGTGGAACTTAGTTACAGTTTCTGGGAGCGTGATCAACAGTCTTAACAAGGCCAGCACACTCAAATCCTCGGTCACGATGACTTGTGACTTTGTGCCAGCACAATCATCGACGGCTCACAAAGTGTTCAGTCTACCCAATTTCACCAACAAGGTTAGCGCTTGGTATGGTTTTCAGGCAATTTCCAATTTACCTTCCTGACAAATCAACGAAGTAAGATTCAAAACCAGGCTCATGGTCAGAAAGCGAACGTTGTAACCACTCGGTCACGTTTACATTTATAGGCTACTGGGGGATTGAAGGAAGCAGGAGAAGGAAGAAAACCGCCATTCCCAGTTCTTTTGTTTAGGTCTAATGCTTTAAGATATTTATAATCTTCATCTTTTATTTTGTTTATTTTATTTATTTAGTTGTCTATTTATTGTATTAAATTAATTATTTATATATTTGATTTATTTATTCGCCTTGTATCTTCGATTGTAAATGTTTAGTTTATCAGATTTAATTTATGGAATTTTACGGAGTATTTTGAATGTTGTAGGTTGCGTAGTAGGAATTTGTTTACGTGACTTGCACTTGAAATTAATAGGCTTGAAAATTGTGAGCATAACGTAAACATATTTTTTAATAATGTTTATCTTAATTCCCGACCTACTGACAATGCTTTCCGTACTGATTCCACTTCTAATCTTCCCGACTAAAACCCGCCATATCACGCCCATTGTAGCGGCTCACCCTAATCCCCTTCGTATTCCATTGGTGAGATGTAACTACCATTCAAGCATCAGCAATCACGAACCGCTGCTTTGTGGAACCAACTCCCAAAAAGATACTTTCCTGATCACTAAAATCTTAATCTGTTCAAGTCTTAACTGTTATGTTCCCCACGTAAACCTCTACCTCGAGTGGCTCTCTAGCATTGTACAGGGTGAACATCATTGTGAAACGGGGTTCAAATGCAGTCAATACTAAAGACAACAATGACTGTTTCGTTTCTACGACCCTCCCGAATGAAAGCTGTGGCATATTCGTTTCATGGATTCTACTAGTGATATGTTGGGCTAAATAAACAGCTAGTTAACGATAAGATCAAAAAAAGCCTCAAGAATTAACTACGACTTCATGTCATAACCTAGTGAAAGGAACAGTGTCTGCCATCGAAACCAGAGCACCGACGCCTCTCTGCTTATGGTAATTAAGAAAGTAAAGGCTGGCCTCCCCACCTCGTCCTACTTACCACCGGCACCCTGAACTACGCCACACGTTTCGCGGCTGCAGTGCTGGATAAAATGCTGCTTTTCTTCACTGTTCACAACAACTGAGCCATTTGACGTAATCTATCATTTATTTTTACTTTTTCCCCTTTTCATCGTTTATCAAAAGCTCTTCTGTTATAATCCTCCCACCCACTCCTCCTTTCTTCTTCGGTCTTTCGTTTTAATATGCTTTTTTTCACAAACCGCCGTTGCTACACCGACAGCTATCACGCACACACAAACATTTTCTGTATATATATATATATATATACGAATACAAGTTTGTATGTCTAGCGTTTGCCATATCGTTTCTGCTAAAACAAATCTCGATATTACGACGAAAATATTATATGGGGATAAAAATGAGACTGAATTGAACAGACTGAAGTGGACACAGACGGCGAGATCGGGAGAGACTGAAGTGGACACAGACGGCGAGATCGGGAGAGACTGAAGTGGACACAGACGGCGAGATCGGGAGAGACTGAAGTGGACACAGACGGCGAGATCGGGAGAGACTGAAGTGGACACAGACGGCGAGATCGGGAGAGACTGAAGTGGACACAGACGGCGAGATCGGGAGAGACTGAAGTGGACACAGACGGCGAGATCGGGAGAGACTGAAACAGACGGAACGAGATAAATTAGACGACAGATCGGAAGCGACTAAATTAGAGAGACAAACAGACAGATCGATATAGACTAAAATAGACAGGTAGACAGACATATGGGAATAGACTAAAATAGACAGGTAGACAGACATATAGGAATAGACTAAAATAGACAAGCAGACAGGCAGATCGGAAAATATAGATCGCGGTGCGACTAAAATAGGCACAGAAATCGAAATAGACTGACACTGATAGACAAGATTATTTTCTTCTTATATATATATATATATATATATATATATATATATATATATATATATATATATATATATATATAATAGAGAGAGTGGCTCCTCAATTTAACAGACTAATAGTCGTTCATTTTATATATATATATATATATATAACCTCAACTTGACGGTCCCGGAACCAATGGACTCCGGATATAACGGACAAAACCCGCAGAAATGCTAGAATGCGGCTAGAACTCAGAACGCCTGCGCCAACTCCGTTAGTTACAGAATTGGACACCGTTGTTTAGTGGTGCAATCGACAGCCAGAGAGTGGCAGTTCGGGGAATAGCCGCTGTTGTTTACTTGGACGCTCGTTGTGTATGCACATGCATCGTCTCTCGAACCTTTTATACTGATTCTGCTACAGTATTGTTTATTTGTCAAGCCCTTCACTATGACATCCATTTGTGTGTGTAATTTATTTTAATTTACTGTATGCTAACTTAAAAATAAAATACAGATACATATATACCGTATTTACAATAATTTTGTAATGTAATAGGTGTTTTAGACCACGAAAAAGAGGGTTCAAATTCCTGTAGTCTTTTAATAACTGCACAAAAAAAGCTTATCCGTGAATATGAAAAGGATCATTTCGAGAATAAGTAGACAGAACGCGTCTAAATTATTTAACAAAACCTGTCTTGCGTATCTGTCTATATTTCTGAGATGAGGTATTATGTACATTATTTACATTATTCGGACTATTTTCTTCATCTTTGTTGCCATATTTATTACAACGTTTCGGCCGTTGTACGCTCTGGCCTTCTTCAGGTGGTTGGAATGTCGAACCCTTTATTTCGCTCACTGCCTTAACCGGGTACCCGGTTAAGGCAATGGAGAACTTTCAGAGGGAAATTAATAGGAGATAATTGATAACTGATATCCATTAAACAGGGCACGTAGAACTAGAACAGTCTACCCCAGTGAGCGAAATGAAGGGTTCAGTTCGACATTCCAAACACCTGAAGAAGGCCGGAGCGTACAACGGCCGAAACGTTGTAATAAATATGGCCACAACGATGAGGACAATAGTCCGAATAATATAAATAATGAAACTTGTCTTAATGAAAATATGCGGCAGAAATATACGCATTTCATATTATATATATATATATATATATATATATATATATATATATATATATATATATATATATATAATATTTTTTAGATAATTTTATTATTCTTACGAGAGGTTTTTTGGGATCAATGGTCTTATTGTTTGTCCTGTTTTTCATGTTACGTCGACGTTTCATCCGCTCCATTCTCTGGCCGACAGTATTGAGAGAGTGTAATCGTATTAGATATGTTGATAGATATGAACACTGCGTATAAATAAATGTGTTACGGCGTATTAAACGTGTGCTATTTGTCTTATGGAAAAAAAAAAAAAAAAAAATTAAATTCTTTGTTGTACCTCGCTTTGATTTCTCCCACCATTCTACTTACAAACTACCATTAGACCTGGAAAACTGGGTTAGTCTCCGTTCTGCTATCAGAGCAGATGCCAGCTTTCTCTTTCTCTCTCACCACTGATTTCTTTCAGGATGTCCGGGCCACCGCCTGACGTCTCTGTGGATAAAACTGTCTATCCCCTTGATTAGGAGGATGGGGAAACTGTTTTGCAATACAGGTTGGTCCGAAAGTCTTGTCACCCACTACCAAAAAGTAATGAGAACAACAGTAGAACAAGTAATACAGTAATACAAAGCACATGTATTGGATTCAGTTTATTCTCTTTCACTAATGCTGTCACACTGTAGGAGTTCGTGTCAAAACTGTAGGAGTTCGTGTCAGTCATTTGAAATGCAAAATTATATTATGTAGCGGGTGACAATATTTTCGGACCACCCTTTACATCGACATTTGACTGCGATCTCACGATAAGCAGAAGAAATTTGCTGATTAAAAGTTATTCTTCATTCATCTCTTCGCGTTCTTCTCACATTATAAAATACTCTCTCTGTCACGTTCTCATTCTCTCTCTCTCTCCGCAGACTGGGTCCTATATCCTTGAGTGGCAAGTGGTCAGGAGAAGTAAAACTTTGGGAAAATATTTTGCAATGCTTCAGAATATCTATCTATCTATCTATCTATATATATATATATATATATATATATATATATATTCTACCCTCCAACCTCTCTCTTTTTCTCACAGGCGAGATGTAGCAAGCCCTCTCGCTGCTCTATCGCTACTTTCACGGGAAATGCTCGGAAGGACTACATTCCTTGGCTTCCCCAGGCGTAACCTTCAGGACAAGGACCCACCATACCACTTACATTGTAGCAAACCACCCACATTTCCTCTATCGCTTACAAGTAAGTTCCACTCGGACAGCATCTCGCGAACTGCTGCTCTGTGGAACCGACTCCCAAGAGGATGTTTCCCCGATCACTACAATCTTAACCTGCTCAAGTCTCGGGTTAACTGTTATCTTCCTCTCCTATCCGTACAAACTGCCTCCCAGCCTGCAGGGCCTTGTAAATGTTGAGCCTTACTGTAAAATATATATTAAACACATATAATTATATATGTGAGTTGTGTGGTTTTGTACCCTCATACGTCGAACATGAGGGAAGTCTCCAGTATGTGCTTATATATATATATATATATATATATATATGCGTAGCTATCCTTTGTATGTTCGTTAAATATGACGGACAAAGAATATTTGTTTCTTTATTCAATTGTTTGTTGTTTTTTGGGGAGAAGGGGGGAATAATATTTGTGCGAAAACGAATGCAACGATTTGGAAAAGAACCGTAGATTTAGCAGTTGTAATTTATAAATGTTTCACAAAAAAAAAAAAAACACTGTTCAGATACAAAAGTTATGTTCCTTTAATTTGTACGCTTTTTTTTTAATGAACCTTTTGATGACGTAAGGTTGCCAGTTAAGGCTTTTAACGCATACCATGAAGCCTGATTTCGGTTCACTGACCTTCACTGTTAGGATTGCCTCTACCCGCCAAATAGCCTCCAATTGCCCTGAGAGATCACATCAGTTAGTTATGTGCCATGCGTGAAACTCGCTTAGTCGATCATGTATCTGACAAAGCATATTTTCCCCGCAGTAGGTTGCCATTTCTTTCTGCAGTAGACCAGTTGCCGTCCAAGGCTATAGAACCCGGTCTATGCTGCAAACATAGCCTTGATTCCATCGCCTTGGATGGCAACTGGTCTACTGCAGAAAGGCAACCATAGCTGGAGGGAGAAGAGGATTCATACCTTCCCAAGGATATTAGCACGTAAGTGAATGCAATGAATTCGACTGGAATTCGAACTCGGCTCTCCGATTCCTCAATCCGAACCGCTATCCATTACTCCTCCGTCCCTCCATAAGAGAGATCTCTTAAAGGGAAATAACTCTGCATGACTTCATGGCGATTTAATGGGGCATCACAAACATCTACGTCCAAATTTGAGTATCAAACCTACCGCAGTCGTAATACCCAATCACTAGAGCCTTAACTTCAAATCTACCTTCAACAACCTCGTTCAGTAACCTTCTACCTTGATTGGCTCTTGTGTCTTGCATTGGGCGAATAACAGTAAAAAAAAAATCGCGCTGGAAAAATCTGTCAGCATAGGGGTCAATAAGTAGATATTTTTTCTTTGGTCCTGAATTTTGTCATAAAAGTCAAACTATGACCCATATAGGTCTCAGCTGATCTTGTTTTTGCCCTCTCGGTGAACGAAGCTATTTTTTCTGTCCTCTTAGGAATCCGGTATTGGGGTGTGATTTTGATTTCCCGTTGTTTTTATTTTCTTTATCTTGATATTTTTTTCTCTCTCTTCACAGAAGTCGATGCGTCTAGCGGCAATCCCATTTTTGATGACGTACCTTCCGATTCAGAAACAAACGAATCTGACACAGATGATTTTGTATTTGACGATTGCCCGTTGTCAACTTTTTCTCTGCAATCGAATATCGACAAAAAGTAAGTTCTTTTCATTATCATTATTATTACTTTTATTATTATTATTATTGTTGTTGTTATAGATTACGTTCCTGTTTTCAAAGCTTAATCTTAAACAAAAACAGAGATTGCGCAAATTGGCAAAACCTTGGATTTCGGCAATTTCAATCATCTTCCATAGCGTCCTGGGTATGACTATAAACTACATCCGCGTCCTGGGTATGACTATAAACTACATCCGCGTCCTGGGTATGGCTATAAACTATATCCGCGTCCTGGGTATGGCTATAAACTATATCCGCGTCCTGGGTATGACTATAAACTATATCCGCGTCCTGGGTATGACGATAAACTACATCCGCGTCCTGGGTATGGCTATAAACTATATCCGCGTCCTGGGTATGACTATAAACTATATCCGCGTCCTGGGTATGACGATAAACTACATCCGCGTCCTGGGTATGACTATAAACTACATCCACGTCCTGGGTATGACTATAAACTACATCCGCGTCCTGGGTATGACTATAAACTACATCCGCGTCCTGGGTAAGACGATAAACTACATCCGCGTCCTGGGCATGACGATAAACTACGTTCAACAGCAAGGCCTCTGACCAGGATATTTTGAGGAGCTTTGGGCCACCTCTTGATTGCTGGTGTTCCCAGGTCCACCCTAACCCGGGGTGGTAGCACCTGTTAGGGGTCCTAGCTATGGGCAAATAGTTAACCCCCCCAAAAGTGGTCAAAACACTATGAAAATGTAAAAATAAATTTTAATAAAAGAAATACTTTTTTGTAATAAGATAAATTATTACCAGCTATACATTTTTGAAAAATATATTACCAGCAATAAAAATTGTCGGCATGAAATAACCCATTGAGGGTGATATACCGTAAAACAAAACAAAAACCAATCATCATCGATAATCTCCGCTTACCATTTCCTTTCCAAAAGTCAGGAAAACTTTTTTCAACTACAAAAATGGTTTCTCTAAGCAGAGGGTTTACCGCCATATCACGTTGAAACACCGATTCTCACAATATCACCCAAGTTAAGCAACGTTGAGCTTTGGTGAGTACCTAAATGGGTAACCGCTTGAGAATACCAGGTGTTGTAAGCTTGGATGTGCGGGTGGTGTAATGGATAACGGCTCGGAATTGGAAATCAGAGAGCCGAGTTCCAATTCCAGGCGGATTCGTTATTATCACATACACGCAAATAACCCTTGGGAAATGTACGATTTCACTTCTTCTCCCCCCAGCTATGGGTTAATTAGTAGAGCCTGCATCAGTAAATCATTAATATCTCCCAAAAATTCTTACAATCTAAAATTAGTTTATTAGTATTGATTAGTTATAATATTTGTAATATTTATTGTTAATCATTTGTTACCGTATTTTTCGGAATATAAGATGCACAGGTGTATAAGACGCATCCTTATTTTGAAAACAGTTTGGCCGAGTATCCAATGAAAATTGAAATATCGATTATGCGATTACCGACGTTAACTGCATTAAGCACTCTGATGAATTTCATATTTGAAATCCATACTATTGTAAAAATAGCACATTCAAGTGAACCAAACCATTCGTGTATGTGAGTGTGTGTGTGTGTATATATATATATATATATATATATATATATATATATATAGCTCGTGTACCTCTTTCTCACTCATCATATATATATATATATATATATATATATATATATATATATAGTTTCGGTGTATAAGACGCAAGCAGATTTTGACATAACATTTTAAGAGTGCGTACTATACACCGAAAAATACGGCTATTATATTATTATATATTATAATTATTTCGTTTTAATACAGACACATTATTATTTATTATTATTCCTAATATTTGTCATGTTTATTCGTATATTTCCAGGTATTTTACAGTACTGGACATTGCTCATAATACGGGTGAAAAATTGGATAAAATACGGGAGCTTTGCCAGCCGAACATCTTCACGATGAAATTTGACAAGTTTGTCAACGAAACGAAATCCTTGGCATGCTTGCAGGCGACAATGTCGAGAATCATAGCTCAAAAGAGCGATTTCGTTGAACTTATCGATGCTGACGAATACAACAACGCCATGGCGGTTCTCTCAGGCAGACCTTGTAACGACTCGAAGAAAATCTTGCCGCTTAATCATCCTTCAACCAGTACCAATTCCAAAATAGGCACCAACAGCAGCAAATGCAAAGATCAGATTTCCGACAAGGCATTTAATGGACAAGAACGTGCGTTGGATAAGGACATTCCGCTCAGCCCTTTTTCCATGTCGGATGACGAAGCCTCGCACTTAGACGTGGCAAATTCTGGCTATTTCGAGGTGTCTCCTGATTTGTCCACATATTCGGCCAAAGAAAACACTACCGTATCCACTCGAACTGCTAACGTTACGACAACATTAGCAACCAAAATCGAATCTGTTAGTACCGCGGAAAAATCGCACTCGACCAAAATAAGTGACGATTCTGACAATTACCAGGAATCTGTGGCCGAAACGTCCGTTCCAACATTGTCTTTCAAAGACAAATTTGTTGGCGGACAAACAAGGACTACAAAGAAAAAACGTGTAGCTATGGACAGCGTATTTCCAGGGTCTAAGTCGGCCACAGCCACGGTTGCCGGTGCTGCAACGTCTGTGCGTCACAATGGTCACTTCACGATAAAAATGGGTAATCTGCCCGACGATTACTATCAGGCTTTTGGGATTGACCAAACTGGAGGGGTAAGTGATCACAGTGGCAAAAGCCCGAGGAAAATATCGAAAGACCCACCCCATTCTTATACTGAAAATTTGGACTGTAGTAAGAAAGATCAGATTCCGACAGATTCCTCAGTAGTAATCGATCGGTGACATATAATAAAAAATTAATTAATGATTTTAAACTGATGGAATATTAGATATCTCTATGGCGGTTCCGTGTCATTGACAGAGACGGTCTATAGGAAGGAAGGAAAGGTATAGATATGGAAGATGAATAAAAGAATGAGAGAAAAGATGATGAAGAAGAAGAAAGAAACCGAAAGAAAGATGGAAACGGAAGTACAGGAAGTAGACTTCCGGTGGAGGAGACAGAGCGTTTTAATAAGAAGATAATGACAGAGAAACTCAGAGAAGTAGAAGGAAGGAAAGAAAAAAAAAAGCAGTGAAAGTGTATAATTATACATACTCTGAAAGTCTCCAAAGTAAATATATGATAAAGAGAGACAGAGAAAAAAAATGACTAAAAATCTGCAAATAAAAATTGTTTTAATGAAATACGGAGTAGTAGTTTAAAAAATCGAGTTGTAAAAGAAAACAAAAAAAAAAGCAAAAAAAAAAAAACGGAGATGGAAAAGATCAGGGAAAAGGCAGACAAATATATGGCTTTCTTTTTTTCTGGGTTATATTTCTGGTGTTTAGTAACATTGTGATGTGGATAAAAAGCAGCCATAGTTATAACATAAAAACAAAGGTTTAATGTCTGCCTAAGTATCTATCTGAACACCGCGCGTGCGTATGTATATAGTTACAAAACAAACATTGAACACATCTCGAACACACACACACACACACAAACAAACATATATATATATATATATATATATACACACACACAGAGAAGGTGAAAAAAACAAGATTTAAAAATGACTTGCCTGAGTATGTGTACATTCGTGTGTATGTATACGCATGCGCGCGCCTTCACGCTCATGCGCAGTTGGTCCCAGTATTGAAAAGAAATGGGGGATCAACTGGGACATTAGATACTGATCAGATGAACAAAACATACTAGCAGTTGACAGCGAACAAAAGACAAACAAAAATTAATTCCTTCAACAAACAATAACAATAATAGTAATAATAATATTAAAACACACATACACAGTCAAGTAACAATACAACTCATCTCCGGAATAAACTTGCGAGTTTACAAGAATCTAAGATTGCAAAGTAAATGACTAAACCAGCCAATCAAAAAGGAAGACAAAAAAATAACAAACAAACAAACGAAAAATGTATAGTTTGTAGACTGTCAACTATTGAGTGGGTGGGTGGGTGGCTTGTGACATAAAATGATATGGGGTTGGGGAGGTTCGAAAAGGGAACTGTTGCACGGTGCACGACAACCACCATTACCCTAAACCCTTTATCAGTACGCCCAGTATAAATATATAAATACTAGTAATGTGATATGATAATGTTTTTTTGTTGTTGTTGTTGATGTTGTTGTTGTTGTTGCTACTGTTGGTCCCTATCTTTTTTTTTTTAATTTCATTATTTTTTTTTTAAATCTTAACAACACCCGTCTCCTCACTTGCACCTGCTCAACGTACACATCCATGACGATCTCTCAGCTTTTATATGCATTTTTCATTCTTCGACCACCCAACCCAAACTATGCCGGTTTAACAACCGAACACCTTGGTACGGTCGAAAGCAAATAATATATATATATATATATATATATTTAGAGAAACGGAATTACTGAATACCTGAAAAAGTTATTTTCTAATTAAGGCACTGAATCGATTTAATTTTCCATACTTATATTTTTTTCATCTTAATTGATAGAATAAGTGACACACACACACACACACACATTACAAAGGTAATAAATAAAACGCAACGTTGTTTTTTAACACTGTTAAATATCAAATAGACCCACTACTATATATATATATATATATTAGAGAGAGATAACGGTATATATTCTTATATATCAAGAACAATATTAGGTTAAAAATATGACGAAGTACAAAAAATTCATCCTTTAGGACCACATCGAACTAAATTTGTTAAGGTTGGTGTGACTATACAAGATTATATGAACACAAAAGAGACATTTTACAAAACAACACATTAAATGCGTTGGTTGCCCATCGTAACTCGACTGACCACAATTTTGGCATAAAAAAAATTGCTACTCTGATCAAAGGAGAATACAACTCACTCCGACGAAAATGTATAGAGAGTGCCTTGATCGCAAGGTGATCTACAATAAATTTGCGCCCGGGCTCTTACAGCATTTCACCATTCATGGCAGAACTTCTATTATCACAGTGTAGGATATCTACTAACAAATGTGATGGAAAGAAAGCGAAGAATAGTCTAAATGAAATCGGCTCGATTAAAAAATAAAATTCCCAGTATTATTCCTCATTCGGGCGCATGTGTAGTCGCACCAACGTAACAAATTTAGTCCGATGAAGTCCTGAAGAAAACTTTTTCTACCTTGTCAAACACACACACACACACACATATATATATATATATATATATATATATATATATATATATATATACACACACACTGTAAATGACATATTAGTCCGCTCACCAAATATACCGTTTTATTGTATCAAGAAATAATATCGGATTAAAAATATACATTAACTGCTTAAAAAATCACTTTGTTTACGTTTCAGGTGATAAAATAAATTTAGCCTATATAGACTTCGAAATGGCCCAACCAGAGATGTGCATTTCTTAAGCCTTGCTTTGCTGTGATGGCTTCTCGTTGGCATAAAACCTGTTTCCCTGATTAAAAATGGAATACAGGTTCGATTCATATCCGGATCGGCAGACATTAATTTAACTGTTAAAAAAAAAAAATTGGATGGCTATTTAGATATATGTACCCTCAGAATATAACGTTTACAGAAAAATATATCTATATTGTCATCCACAGACAGACTGATTCGCTGTATCACAGCTCATCAGTGTGGCTAGACGTCCGGTTGCCTCTAGATATGATCGAAACCCGACTGAATTGGCGTTAGTCGGGGGATTCTACCACTAAGCCGTTGGCGTACGGCAGGGATGAAGGTGAATTTAAGCGTATTTATTTTTAGATAAACACACAGTGATTGAGAGAACTCGATTCGATTTGCCGAAGAGTCGTGCATTATTAGCCGTAATAGTCAGTGTTTACAAACCCACACTTCCTCCCCATATATATATATATATATATATATATATATATATATATATATATATATAAAAAATAACGTTTGAAGTGATAAGATTTGTCGGATTAATAAATAAAAATCCATTATTTCTTTAGAAACATATACAAACACACACACACACACATAATGTCGTAGGAAGATTTCGCTCAAGCATAAAAGACTGTCGTAGGCTCTGTTCTTGATATTGAGCACTTTTACCAGTAAATATAGCATATACTAAATCTATATTTTTATTATATATAATCTAAAGAAATTACAAAAAATACTAGTTTTATTTGTTATTTATTTATCTATCACTCAAATCTAAATGGAGATTAATTTTTGTCGGCACACTGTAGAATTTGGCTAAATTTCATTCCAGAGACAATGAGTCTAGCGCTAAATGCTATCGCTGAAAGAACTCTAAGACGTCAGCAAATCAAAGAACCATGCGCCGATACACACGTGAGCTCCCCCCACGCATACATACACACACACACACACACACACACACACACACACACACACAAAGAATATCACACGTCTCCAGAATTATACCATCCATTTCTTAGCTCAAGCCTCTGTATATTTTTACCATTATTATTCTCAAACTTTGGCGATATTTGTGTTTTTGATATATAAGGAAACATTCGTTTATCGATATTTCTTCCTTCCTCTTGGACATCGACAAAATTTGCAGTCTGTACACAATTTATTTCTTAGCCATACTAATTTTGACATTCGTGTTTTTGGTAGTGGTAGCATTATTACTAGTAATTTTTTTTTCTTTCTTTTCTGAAGTAAGAAAAGCTTATAATGTCAATACTAGAAAAGTGAAAAATATGTTGGTGCCTTGTCCATCATGTGTATGTGTCTGTATAGGGGTTCATCGGGACCTTGTCAACTAAAAACATTGGAAAATGTCTTCATAGTATAACTTACAAAATAGTGTAATATTTTTGTTTTTATTTTTATTTTACTTTTTTTTTTGGAAGGGTCCGAAAACGTCTCTTCTTGAAAATAAGTTTTGCATTGCAAATTTTCTTCAAACAACTGAGCTTGTTTGTATTCTTAATGTTGCCGCACCTTTCCAGACGATTCATTCTTCGGTCTTCGCCAGGTGTATAATCTGTAAGAAAATAGAAATTCTTTTTCAGAAAATAGATTATATATTTATCGACTGAGGGAGGAAAATGGATGGGTCGAAACGTCGTCGCAACATCAAGAATCAAAAGGACTTTATTGTCTGAACGAAATTTGTAAAGTTATAAACAGTTTAGCATGGTTCAAAAATCTCGACATCGGGAATATTACATGTGCAAATACGAAACGAACACAGTGGCTGGTGATTATTGAAAACTTAGGAATATGCGTGACGCAGAGTATCGCAGATTTTACAAGTAACCATCCGTCAAATGAAATTGCTCAACATAAACTATGCGATAAGTAATGAATGTTCGCTTGGTTTACGCATCTTAACCGACCGACGACAGTTGATAGGGAGGGCCCTCGAGAGACCCGTTACCAAGCGTGAAAGCCGGTTCGATCGACCAGTCACCAAAGCCGGGCGCCCTTTTGGGCCTCACCGCGCGAAACGCGGAGAGCGGCTGACGAGAGGACGGAACGACACGCATCAGTCTCAATCTAATATCTAGCGCGGCGATCCGTAACAGTCGTCTGAATTAACCCCAGGATTTACTCCTGTAGGTGCAATGGAGGGGAGTTGATTAGGAGCTGGATACTGGGTCACCAGATCTCGACCGTTGCTTTCATTTCAACCTTTTAAGATCTCTGACAAGGATAAGTTAACATTTAAACGGAAACTCGGGATGAGGTAAGCCTTTAATATTTGTAAAATTTATTCTTTAATGTACGTGTCGGATACAGACAAATTTACTTATTATCAAATAGATAGATTTTTGGAGC